AAGGTATATAAAACCTCAAAACAACAACAAGGATGGAAAAATAATTCATCATAGGACAACACCTTCTTTAATCCAAATTTTCGATAATTATATTAATGCCTATTCTTACCTTATTTAATTAATTATTTGCAGATGCAAAATCCATAATAAAATCATTTCTAAGAAATATCAAATCACCAAACACATGGAATTCACCTAAAAATCCAAGTAGCAATCGCACCAAATTATCATATAAATACAAACTCGACAAACAAAGAATGAGGCATGACAATTAAGGATTTACTAAGTGTCAACCATTTTCAATTAAATACATGCGGATGTCTACGAACTTTAACTGATATAATTTGCACATATAAACCAAGTACGTACTCTTCACCTCACGTACATGATTTTCAATCACACAATTTCCACATAAGACTCAATGCCTAAGGGAAAATTCCCCCACACAAGATTAGACAAGATACTTATCTTTTTGAAGTTAGGCCGATATTCCAAAATAGCCTTCTTGCTTGAATTGACCTCCGGACGGCTTGAATCTATCCAAATTAAGTGTATAACTTCATTAAAATCCATCGAAAATAATTCCGGATAATATAACGTCGACTTAAAATTTCACATTCAAAAAGTCAACCAAAAGTCAACGCAGGACCCGTCTCTCAGAGCCCGACATAATTTTCACGAAATCCGAACACCCATTCCGATACGAGTTCAACCATACTAATTTTATCAAATTCCGACATCGGATTGGCTTTCAACTCTTAAATTTCCGTATTTTTGAAGATTTTACAAAAATCTCATTTTCTTACATCTAAATCCAAAATAATTGATGAATATGGACATGGATTTATGAAATATAATCACTTTCGAATATAGAACACTTACCCAATTCAAAGTCGTGAAAAATTCCTTTGGAATCGCCCAAATCCGAGACTTAAAACTCAAAAATGAGTAAAAATGGCTAACTCCCGTTCTTAAGAATCTGTCCAGGCAAGTTGCATTGGTCATTTGAGCATTTGATACATGCGATTTAGCCTCTGTCCCAGAAAAAAAGTATTACCTGTAAATTGATCATAACTTTTTGTACAAATGTCCAAATGATGAATGAGTTAACTTTCAGAAAACTAGAATCAAAGGACTACAACTTTCATGTTTTGATAATTTTCAGATTCCTTACAGATTTCGAGATATAAGCTTTCAAAGTCAGCCCCGTGAAATAGAAATTTCTGGCGATTTCAAAACTCTTTCCAGACAGCCTGTAGTTTATTAATCATAACTTTTTGTACACAACTCCAAATGACAAACAGTTTGGCTTTTCTGAAAACTAGACACAAAGGGCTACAACTTTTGTTTTTGGATCATCTCCAAATTCTTTATAGATTGCGAGATATTAACTCTCAAAGTCAGCTCAATGCTGTCCAAAAACTGCTTCTGCCCAGTGAATTCCAGCATCTTCAACAAGGCGCCAAACGATCAGAAACTCATCCGAGCCACTCGGGACCTTGTCCATATATACCAATAAGTCCTGTAACATAACACGGGCCTTCTTGTATTCTCAAATCACATCAAACAACATCCAAACTACGAATTGCACCTCGAATCGAATTATGAGTTTATGAATTTTTCAAATTTTATAATCTGCGTCAAAACATATCAAATCAATCCAGAATGACCTCAAATTCTGCACACAAGTCATAAATGATCTAACGAAGATGTTTCAATTTTCAGAATCGGATTTCGATCCCGATATCAAAAAGTCAATTCCCCGGTTAAACTTTCCAAAAATCTTATATTTTCCAATTTTCGCCAAAATGCGTTGAATTGTCTCACGGACTTCCAAATCCAAATCCGACCATACGTCCAAGTCCGAAATTACCATACAAAACTATTGAAATCATCAAAATTCCATTCTGGGGTCGTTTGCTCAAAAGTCAACTCGCCGGTCAACTCTTTCCATTTAAGTTTCAAAATGAGAACTATTCTTTAAATTTAACTCAGAATCTTCCGAAAACCACACTCGACCTCACGTGCAGGTCATAATACATATTACAAAGCTGCTCGAGATCTTAAGTCGCTGAATGAGGCGTTAATTCTTAAAACGACAAGTCGGGTCGTTACATTACTAGATTGAATTTTCAATAAATAAATAAAATAAAAAAGAGAGGAGGGCTAAGTCAATTCAATCTTCTTCTTAGCTCCAGAGGAAAGTAAATATATAATAAATTGGTTCAGTTAACTAATTTTTTTAATAGCGAGTCAATTTAAAGTTCCTCTTAGGCATCCTCGTAGAAAAGTAAATATTCCTATAACAATAAGTTGGTAAAGTAAACTGATTTTTCTAATGGACTAATCAATCTTTCACTTTTTCAGCTCTTTGGTTGTCGAAGAAAATCGCTGCCGTAAATGCTGACCTTCCCTAAAATAATTATTTTAATGTTTAAGACTTAAAGTAATGCATGCAGCTTGGCATTTGTTGTTATCTGGATTACCAATCAAGGGCGAACCTAGCTTATGATTTATGACTTCACATAAATTCAGTAATATGGCCCTGTATTTATATTAGAACTCAGTTATTATGTATTTTAACATGAAACTGTTGTAGGAAATAAGAATCCATAAGCTTATCTGAATTTTTTATTTGGTAAAAAGTAACATCAATTCGTTAAAATTAGTCGATCGGAACAAGTCAGATTTAGTATGCAGTCTCTTAGAATTGGAGGTTTCCAGTGTGAATGTACGAGTACAACAACAACAAATCCAATGTAATGATCGAGGGAGAGTAGCGTGTATGCAGTAAAGACTGTTTCAAATATACTTTCGGAGCGTGTATGCAATAAAGACCGTTTCAAATATACTTTCGGCTCAGGAAGGCCATAATCACAACATTGTAATGTGAATGCACGAGTATATGCCATATTCTATATCTCAAAAGCAAAAGATTCTTGCAGCTTATGTATCTTCCTTATAGGCTTATAGCACAAGAAACTAATCCTTATGGAAGAAATAAAAAGCTTTGTAATATGATGAATTTCATGGTAATTTCGATCGACTTTAAAAAACTATAGATTAGTCAGAGCCTAGAACTTAGACATAGTTGTGTTGTGCTCTTAATTAGTCAAAAGTAATTGCTCTTTATCTTGGAAAAATGCACTTGTATCATTAGGCAAAAACTGTAAACTTAAGTCTTTAGTGCATGAATCAAACATATATTCAGGATCTTGAACTTTATAATCTCACATAGATAACGTTATAGGAAAACATACTTGGTCCATAAGACGGTATTATAGAAAATAAAAGTCTTAAATTAGTTTCTCGCCCCTTACCAATTCGTTACCACCATTTTAGTGATGCAAAAGAGACCGAAAAGAGAATAGGCTAACCTAATAGGTGCAGGGATAGGACCAGTTTACAGAGTTTATGGCTTAATGAGGTAACATACTAGATTCATTCTTCACTAGATATTGATTATATGCTTTTCCATAGATTGAGCCACACATAAAATAATAAAAGTCCAACAAATATAAAGAACTTGAACTTATGCATCACGATCAATTCATTTATACGGAAAATTTCAAGTAAAATTGTGCATAAATAACTTGATAAAAGTAATAATTAACTAGTCGGTTATCATTTATAAATTAAATTGCATTGATCGTGTAAAAAATAAAAAATCAGTACATTCTGTATATATAACTTAAATTCTTTGAAAATATCTTCAATCTTTTATTGTTTTAGCTTCCCCATTTTCCAAATCAAGGATTCTTGGATAATTCTAATTAACTAAAAGTGGTTTCTTTAATTAAACCATGCAAAACACAAGTCAATGAATCTACTTTAAGTGATAACCGATGTCACAAAAGTCTACTATGTACCTTTATTCTCCCGTGTCTTTAATTAGTCTTTACCAAATCATATGATATAATTGTGTTTGTTTGGACTTTGGGTCCCTTCATTTGACAAATTACATATTTAACTACCAAAAGTTCAAACTTTCTTAATTCCTTGTACTTGTCACACAGTTATAAGTTAAACCTGGATCTCGTGTTATTCGACTTTATTATTAAGAAATCAATCAATCTGTAATTCACCTAACATGTAGTTCTATGTACTATAGTATAAAGACGGATTAAGTTGACTTACAAAAAAGTGGAAACTCGTCATATCAAGCTTAATATTATTACTTGTGTAATAAAATACACCTTGCTATAACAGTTAAATTTCATTAATGATATAAAAGAAATTTACACTGTCAACATATATACTCCCTTTGTATCAATTATATATCTTAGTTTCCTTTTTATTCTGTATCCTTAATGTCAACAATTAGGGACAGTTGCACATTTAACGAAGAGATGTCATGCGGCGCCGCTTCGTCGAATTTTTTAATTAAATATATGTAGTAATACTGTGAGAAAATAGATAAGTAGGAAAAGATGACACAACTTGATATAAATTGTCTCTTGGCATGTTAGTTATGTAAATTGTGATAAAGTAAAATTGAACCCAAACCCTTTTTCTAACTTAAGACTCAACAAAACCAATAGACTAAGATTATTTCTTGTAAAGGAAGTATGATAATTAAAGTTATTATTCCCGTCCTTCTATATATTTCGGCACCACTTATAAAAATTCATGTGTACGCACGCCCCTACAACAATGACACAATATATTTAAAACCACAAGATTGCAGGTCATGTATTTCTTGTGTGATATATAAATCTTTAATTTAATACCACAACTTCCAAATATTTTTGTTACATTCTTAAACTTTGTAAATCCAGTCAAACTAAGACACATAAAATAAAACAGACGGAGTAACCTATTGGTATCGGTATGCATGCTTTAATTACTTTTTCAAACGTAGGAAGCCATGCAAAATTTAGTCTTTGTGTTAGGTAAACTGCCGAAAGCAATTAATTACCTTGAGAATGCTTTCTCTAGTCTACAAAAATTCCCTATAAATACTTGACACTTCTCAACATGCCCTGTGCACAACACACTTCTTTCCTTAGATCTAATTAAGGACTTTAATTATCCCTTTAATTAAAGTCAGCATTCTCTAATGGCTTCTTTAAAGATTAATGCTATAGTTTTGTTTATTTTAGTGAGTTTACTAATTGGAAGCTCATCAGCTCAACTATCAACTGGTTTTTACTCAAAATCTTGTCCTAAACTTTATCAAACTGTGAAATCAGCAGTGCAATCTGCTATTAACAAGGAAACAAGAATGGGTGCTTCTCTTCTTCGTCTATTCTTCCATGATTGCTTCGTCAATGTAATTTACCATCTTCATTTCCTCTTTTATTTTTCCTTTTTTCCTTTTTTATAATTATTACTCCCTCGGTTTCATTTTATATGACACAATTACTATTTAAGGAGTCAAAGAAGGTGCCTTTTGACCACGTTTTATGTAAATACTTCTCAAATATTTTAAATTGTTAGGTATTTTAACTGAAGGGCAACCTTGACGTAACTAGTAAAGTTGTTGCCATGTGACCAGGAGGTCAAGAGTTCAAGCCGTGAAAATAGATTATTGCAGAAATGAAGTCTAAGACTACATATACCATAGACCCTTATGGTCCAGCCCTTTCCTGGACCTCGAGTATAGTAAGAGCTTTAGTACACCAGGAGTTTAATTGTTAAGGGATTTTTACAGAAATAGCTGGCTGAATTCACTGTTTATTTTTCCTATAGTTGTATACATAGATTATCAACTGATTATATATGGTTATACACATACAGTTAAATCTCTCTATAACGGCCTTATTCATTCCAGATTTTTTTGGCTATTATAGCGAAGTGCTATTAAGGAAGAACATACATTATAACTTACAGAGGCGGACCCAGAATTTTTACACGACGGGGGTACATTATTCTGCTCAACCAATGTCCCCTAAAGGCTTTTAGTGTTCAGGGTGCCAACTGCTTTAAATTAACCATTTTTAAGATATATATATATATATATTTATATATATATATATATATATATATATATATATATATACGTATATATATACAGGATTTCGGTCGAAGTTTACGGGGTCCGGTGACCCCTCACCCATACACATGGGTCCGCCTCTGATAACATAGCGTGAAAAATTGGTTTCATACAAAACTTGGCTTTTATAGTAAATGACTGTTATATATCGATGCTGTTATATCGAGGTTTGACTGTATTATATATAAATTATACATATATTACACGGCTATTTTTAGTTTAAACAGTTGAGTGAACGACTATTTAAATTAATTCTTTTTTAATTATTTTCTTTCAGGGATGCGATGGATCGCTACTCCTCGATGATACATCAAGCTTCACAGGAGAGAAAAGGGCTGCACCAAATGTTAATTCTGCTAGAGGATTTGAAGTTATTGACAATATCAAATCTGCTGTGGAGAAAGTGTGCCCTGGTGTTGTTTCTTGTGCTGATATTTTGGCCGTTACTGCTCGGGACTCTGTTGTCATTGTAAGTTTTAATTATATTATCAAGACTTTTTCAAGTAAAAACATCTGCATTTTAAGTTTATATAGAGTAATTTTGGTGATCTTATTATATGTATATATGCAGCTTGGAGGTCCCAATTGGAATGTAAAATTGGGAAGAAGAGATTCTAGAACTGCAAGTCAAAGTGCTGCCAATAGTGGCATTCCTCCTGCTACTTCTAACCTTAATAGACTCATCTCAAGTTTCAGTGCTGTTGGCCTTTCTACCAAAGATATGGTTGCCTTATCTGGTTTGTTCTCCCCCCCTCCCCCCCATAATTCTTCTCCTTTGTTATAGAATTTAAGTCATTTAAACGGATAATATAAATCTTTTTAACCCTATCGCTATAATTTAACATGTTATAGCATGTACGTACCATTATTCTGGATTATCGGTCAATACTTACTAAATAGAGTTACTTGTGATTACCTTTTAAATAACGTACTTTGTATTTTCTTATACTGTCAGTTCATAAATCTTAAACTCTTTATAAACACTAGTGTTCGTCAAGTTGCTTAAATGTTGACTATTTGATCGGATACCTGCTATCTCCTTCCAANCAAATTGAGAGGAAAATATACTCAACAATCCAGAAAAAGCTGATGGAATTACATATAGAGTGCCTAAATTTAAACAGAATTTTTATTGTAGATAAGCTAGATTCTAGAACATACAAGTTCTATTAAAGTATGTTCATCTCAACTCACTAAATCTAGCTGTATTTATATTAAAACAGGTAATTACAAATTAAACTCACATTATAACAAAAAATTTTGCACATTATAAACGTCCCCGGCTTAGGCCTTAACACCAATAACAGAGGAAATCTCTGAAAATTAAAGGGCAAAGATCATTTTTAGTCTGCGGCCGAAACTATTTAAATTTGGTATCCGTAAAAGTGTATAAAAATTTGCATATTTTTTGTCTATAACATATAAAAATGTATGTATACACAATTTCTTTTCCAGCTATTATTTTATGAGCGGCTGTAATCAATTTCCTAAAACAAACTATGGTTATGTTTGTATTGGACAGGGGCTCACACAATTGGACAAGCAAGATGTACATCTTTTAGGGCACGTATATACAACGAGACCAATAACTTAGATGCATCATTTGCACGAACTAGACAAAGCAACTGCCCAAGAAGTTCAGGCTCAGGGGACAACAATTTGGCACCACTTGATCTCCAAACTCCTAACAAATTTGACAACAATTATTTCAAGAATCTTGTTGACAAAAAGGGTCTTCTTCACTCTGATCAACAACTCTTTAATGGTGGATCTGCCGATTCGATTGTGACATCTTACAGTAACAATCCTAGCAGTTTTAGCTCTGATTTTGTCACTGCTATGATTAAGATGGGTGATATTCGTCCACTTACTGGTTCTAATGGAGAGATTAGGAAGAATTGCCGTAGGCTCAATTAACGTTGATTAGCATTTTTTTTTTGTGTGTGTGAACTCTCCTGTGTGGGCTGGGTAAATCTGCGTACAATTGACTCTTGTGGTCCGACCCTTCCTCGGACCTCGCGTATAACGGAGCTTAGTGTACCGGGCATTTTGTGTGTGTGTGTGAACTGCAAACTTTGAGACTTCTTTATTTTTTACAATGTTTTACTTTCCTTTTAAGTTTCTTTCTTAATATGCAGGTTCAATGTATGTTACCTTGTCAAAGCTTAAAAGCACAACTTTTTCTCGAGTAAAGGACTGTATTTGTATCATTGTTGGAATATTATGAATAAAAACACCCTTTTTGTTAAACAAAAGATATCTTTCTGCAAATCTTTTGGTGTTTTACAGAATAATTGCAATCATAAGATTTCCATAGTAGTGTCGTTTGATTAGCCTGCTAGGCATTGATACTTATCTTTAGCTTAAAAAAAATTACATCATCATGATCACAATCTTCCAATTAATTCTTACTCCTAACTGCTTCCAACCACTTGGAAAATGATAATTTAGCATGCTAACTAAACCTGCCACGCATCATCGGTGTGTTTTCAATAAAGGACGAAAACGAGGTCGAGGTGACTCAGTAGAGAGACGAGGACGAGCACTTCCTTTAAAAAGGCACTAACGGCGAGTTTCAGAGATGAATATTCTAGGGGATATTCCTCCCATATTTACTATTAGGGTTTTTGTGGCCCATGTGCCTTTATAAATAGAAAGATCTATATGTAGCTATAAGGGGGATTGGACATTTATTGTAAAGAACAACACATTGACATTCTCTGAAGATCCTTGCTTTATTACATACATACAAAATATACCTTTTCTTCATATTGCTGTCTAACTTTTCTCCCACGATCTAAGGAGAATCCGAATATTCAAAGGTTCACCAATCATTTATCATTGTCAACAGGAATATCAAAAAATCTCACCCCTTTTCGGTAAACTCGCTTGCATTTATTTACATAAATGTTATTATATATCATTTATTATTATTCAATGCTATTTTCTTTGTTCTTGGGCCATTGAATATTTTTTACTGTTGCACATTCATTGTTATGAACGGAACTCGTGACATTTTGCTACGAAATCAGTTAAACATTTTTCTGGATATAAATATTGGCTAAGATTAACTCTATTATATTAGAAAATCTAATTGTTTAAACCTAGATCTAAATTTTGGGTCAAACACTTTGGCACCGTCTGTGGGGATTTTCTCAGCCAATCTTTTAGTTTCATTAGATCTACAACTCATGTGACTTGTTAATCTAACAAACCACAAAGTTTATCTCTCCTTTCTGTGCGAACAAAATTTCCATGGCAGGTAACCAAGAAAACAGAATGAGGGCAATAGATAACGTTCTCTTCAACCTCATGAATGTTATCAACGATGGCTATGACACCCATGATGAGGGAATAACGCCCATGGCCTCTCCCAGAAGATAAAGGTCACCTCCAACTTTCTGCAACACAACAAAACCAAACAGGAAAAGACCCTCCACGTCCGGGGGAGAGGGGATGCCACACGCTATGAAAAATCCCCTCGAAGCATGGCTAACTGATACCCTAGTCTGCGTGCTCAGTGATAACTAGGGATTATGGTTCATTTTACACTCCTTCTTACTTGAGTTTGATTAAAAATGTATACAAAATAGTCCTAAAGGCTTACATGTTGTACTTATTTGCAGAGTTTGTTCAAAAAGGTGACAGTTAGTCAAAACCAACTCAAAAAGGAGTGAAACATGCACAAGTACCAAAAATAAGTCCGAGCACAGTGCAACAGGTCCACTGCGGCCGCACTCCATTTAGTGCGGTCCGCAGTGAAGAGATTCAGAGAGGTGCTTATTTCAGATACTCAAGCAATGCGGCCGCAAAGCAATTTGTGCGAACCAAAATGGACTCACCGCGTCCGCACTCGACTTTGTGCGGTCCGCAATGATTGAGTCCAGAGAGTTGGAGTTTGGAGATTCATTGTCAATGCGGTCCACGGTCCTTTTTGTGCGGACCATAGAAGAAGCCACCGCGGCCATGGTGCATTTTGTGTGGCCCGCGGTGGACAAGTTCAGAGAAAAGAGTTTAAAGCCAAGAAGCCTCACTGTGGCTGTACTCGATTTTGTGCGGACCGCACTACCCCTGAAGGGGTAATTTTGTCTAGAAAATTTGTCCTAGTACAATAGTTTCTTTTCCCATTTTTAGGTCATGAGTTGTAATCTAACATTGAGCTGAGCTCGTGAACAGTAGTTCTTAACCATTTTGAGCAATTTTAGAGTAGTTTTATCATTGGATCTTCAAGTATTAGCTTGTAATTAAATTTTATGGATTTTTCTTTATCTATTTCTTTGTTTTTTTCTATTATCATGAGTAGCTAGACCCATTATCTAGGGTTGTGGCTCAACCCTAGTGTAGGTATTTGATGGATCTTGAGTTTTAAGGCTTGAATGTCTATGGGTGTTTGATATTTGGACTAATTTGTGTTTTCCATGTTGAACTAGTGGTTGCAAACACTAATTTGTACCTATTTGACTTGGGTTCTTCTTGAGAAAGAGGACTTTAATCTAGGAAAATTAGTCCAACAAGGAATTGGGGCATATTCAATAGATTGATACCCCCAATAAAAGGGTTAAACCTAGAGATAGTAATACCCGACTTGAACCTAAATTGCTTGCACAAATTATCATACCCAATTTGTCTTGAGAAAGTCAATTAGAGCAAAATCACTCAAACTACCGAGAGGTATAAAGTGAGAAGTTTAGTGCATTGGATATTTCATAATCCCCGACATGACAACCTTGCCTTAGACTCGAGAACCCGTCAAGTATCCACCTAGGAGAAAGTCACTTCCCTAGTGCCTCCCTAACCATTTAGACAACCTTTCAAGTATATTACTCTTAGCTTAATCTAGCATCTTATTAGCATAAAATTAGAAGTAATCAAAAGACCAACTATGATTAGAAGTGCAATTAAGAGCAATTACACATCTCTAATTTAGATAGGAACCCAATTCCCATTTTTAGCTCCCTGTAGAATTCGATCCCGACCTTCTCGGGTAAAAGCTGTTTCGACCACTCTCGCTATATTGTAGTGGTGTAGGGTTGGCTCCGATCACTTTTTGGCGCCATTGCCAGGGAGCTAACAGTTTTGGCTATCTATCTAAATAGTTTGGTGTATTGTTCTTCTTTCTTTCTGTGTTACTAATTTGTGTGTGTCACAACTTCAGGTACAAAATGGCAGTAAACAACGCACCTCTTGGAGATCTTCCGCTGGGGGAGGAGGTAGATGACAATGTTGATAATGAGGTTCCTATTGTACCTCAAGGCCAAAGGAGAGGCCCAGGCTAATGATAATATTCCAGATCCTCCCCCGCCACCTCCAAGAGTGGCTCCTCGAGTACTTCCCAACCAAGGATATGCTAGTGCAATTGTCCCACCCCGGATCCGGGCGGGCAATTTTCAAATTACAAATGTGATGCTGACATTGCTGGAGTAGCTTGGGTATTTCACAGGCGCTGCCAATCAGAATGCTTACAAACATCTCTAGGGATTCGTGTATACCTACTGGGGGAGCAATCAAACTAATGTGTTGGAGAATACACTACGGTTGAGACTATTCCTTTTCTCACTTCGAAGGAAGGCATTGGATTGGCTTGAGCGACTTCCCAACCATTCCATCACTACTTAGGATGAGTTGGCGGATAAGTTCATTGCAAAGTTTATCTCATCGGGGCATATGGCAGCATTGAGAGATGAGATCTTAGCTTTCAAGTAGGAGCCCACCGAACCTTTACATAAGATTTGGGAGCGATATAGAACCATGGTAAAGGAATGTCCCAACAATGATATGACTGAGGCAATAATCCAACAGACTCCCTACCGGGGCATTAACACAACAAATCAGTGTATAGTAAACCAACTTGCTGGGGTAATTTCATGAAGCTGTCTTATGATGAGGCTTGTGACATTCTTGACGAGATGGCTGACATGCCCTCCGCTTGGCAAAGTAGAGCCAATGTGACCCAGGGTGACCCCACGGTCACTCACTTGCACAAAGAGCTACATGACCATGGGCAGGCTATAGCAGAGCTGACAACAACAAGGAACCAGCTAGCAAAGGCACAGTTACAACTGGTTCAAAATCCGCTCCAAGTAAATGCTATGGGGGGTGTCAACATGCTAGTGAACAAAAGAAGACAAAGAGTTAGTAAAATTTATATTCTTAAAATAGCTTCTCTTTTCTCTCGGCACACGTTAGATGAGATAACCTGCGCCACCGTCAGAAATGGAAGGAAGAGGGAGGCCAAGGGAAAATAAAAACAAAACGCTAGTAATCAATCGTGGAATCAAGGAAAATATCTCAAAGGACCAAGGAAAACAACATGCGAAAGGGAAAATTCAGGAAGAGGAACTGGATCTCGATAGCGATAGTGAACTAAATTGGGCAGATCTGAGCTGCAATCGTGTTAAATCAGCTATCCCAGTGAGTCCTACTAATCAAGGGGTACTCAAGATGAACATATCGCCGGCCGCCATTGGAGGAGCAAGCACAAGTAAAGAAAATGCCAATGAAACAGTAACAAACAGTGTCTTAAAGGAGCAGAGCAATAGAACAGTGATCGAGCTGAGGAAGAAAAGCAGAATCTGATGAGACCAACAAATTTGGGAAGGTCATGGGCTGGACTATTGCATGAGAACAAATTAGCTGCAAAAGGAATGGATCTAACATATGTACCACCAGTGATACAAGAGGGGGAGGTAGTAGTACAAATTTTAGAGGAAGATATAGCTGAGAAAAAGCAGAAATGAAATCGAGCAATACTAATGTACGTAGTTGGAAATACTCCGACTATAGGATCTATTGAACGATTTGTTGCTGCTCAATGGGGAAAAGTCAGAAAGCCTAAGGTATTATACCATAGTGATGGATATTTTACAATTCTGATGCATATTGTTGAAGAAGGAGATGAGGTATTGATGAATGTGCCTTATATTATGAACAATAGACCTGTAATACTAAAAGCATGGGCTGAGAGATTTGACTTCAATGAAGAGGTTTTGAAAACTATTCCGCTATGGGTAAAATTTCCAAAACTCCCATTGAACTACTGGAGTAACAAGGCTCTTAGCAAAATTAGAAGTGGGCTAGGGAAGCCTTTGTATGCTGATGCTTGCATAACTGTGGCTGATAGGATTTCTTATGCTCGGATCCTTATAGAAATGGATATAACAAGGACTCTACCAAGGACTCTACCAAGGACAATTAAACTGATTGATCCTAATGGTAAAGTGATTGAGCAAATGGTACAATATGACTGGAAA